GTCCCCATCCCCACTGGTGGCCAAGTGGACCAGACCCTGAATAAAATAAAAAAATGAGCATGAATAAAATAAATCGTATCAGAAAACTCAATCGTATAAAACAAAAAGGGTAATTAAACGTAAGATATTATATAAACTTTAAGAAGAACATCAGGAAGAAGTAAAATACAAGAAAAACATGATGTTAGCTGAATGCCCGAGGCAATAAGAGAAATCCCCCTGAACACAATTATTCGAAAACAGGAAATAAACAAGTTGATATTCAAAAAATATATTTTAAATTACTATAAAAAATGCATTTAAGGTGGTGAGCCCCACAACAAAACCCCTGGTCCTTGCAGTGGATCCTCTCCTGGTTAGTTGCATGCGGCTCCAGAGTAAGGTGCATCGGGTCGATGCATAACTTCTCATGGCAGAGATAACTGACCTCCAGGCCTGCAAGTGCAAACTGCGACCTAGTCTGTCTCTTCTCTTCCATAAGAGCTACCTGATGCATCCTCTCGACTGTACTGCCCTCCTCCGGCCAATTTACCCTCATCTTCCAATACCCATTTCTAGCCCTCCCCCTTGTCCAAAGCCAGCAACCCCCAACCTTTTCACTTAATGAGGCTAATTTCTCCTTCAGGGTCTCAAATATATCTGGCATTATTCTTAGCTTACTCGATAGGGAAAAGAGTACCAATTAATTTCCTACAGAACTCAATACAAATCTTAGGCCCTCTGAGTACTTACCTATTGTAATTTCAGACATATCCTTGGTATCATTGGAAAAATTTTTCTTTGCACTTACAAAATATACTGAAAACAAGAGGCCCAGGGGCCACAGCGCTCACCTGAGCACATCAGCTAGGAAAAAACACATATCAGATCAGAACTGAAAGTTAATTTAAATTGGGGGGGGGGGTGAATTTTAACCCCCAAGGGGATCATAATTTGAACGAACTAGAATCTACATTACCCGAGGATGATTCCATACAAATATTACTAATCCTGGCTTTGAAGTACTTGAAAAGAAGATTTAAAAGGGTTTCCCTATATATTTCTATGTAAAACTTTCGTCAGCTATTTTTGCCACACCCTTACCCCGGGGTCATGACTTGAACAAACTTGAATCTACACTACCTGAGGATAATTTCACATGAGTTTCATCTTTCCTGTTTTAATGGTTCTTGAAAAGATTTTTCCTATATATTCCTATGTAAAACTTTGATCGGCCATTTTGGCTCCGCCCTACCCCCGCGGGTCATGACTTGAACAAACTTGAATCTACACTACCTGAGGATGATTCAACATGAGTTTCATCTTTCCTGGCCCAGTGCTTCTTGAGAAGAAGATTTCTAAAGATTTTTCCTATATATTCCTATGTAAAACTTTGAACAGCCATTTTGGCCCCGCCCTACCCCCGGGGGCCATGACTTGAACAAACTTGAATCTACACTACCTGAGGATGATTCCACATGAGTTTCATTTTTCCTGGCCCAGTGGTTCTTGAGAAGAAGATTTTTAAAAGATTTTTCCTATATATTCCTATGTAAAACTTTGATCGGCCATTTTAGCCCCGCCCCACCCCCAGGGGTCATGACTTGAACAAACTTGAATCTACTCTACCTGAGGATGATTCCACACGAGTTTCATCTTTCCTGTTTCAATGGTTCTTGAGAAGATTTTTAAAAGATTTTTCCTATATATTCCTATGTAAAACTTTGATCGTCCATTTTGGCTCCACCCTACCCCCGGGGGTCATGACTTGAACAAACTTGAATCTACTCTACTGAGGATGATTCCACATGAGTTTCATCTTTCCTGTTTCAATGGTTCTTGAGAAGATTTGTAAAAGATTTTTCCTATATATTCCTATACAAACTTTGAACGGCCATTTTGGCCCCGCCCTACCCCCCGGGGCCATGACTTGAACAAACTTGAATCTACTCTACCTGAGGATGATTCCACATGAGTTTCATTCTTCCTGGCCCAGTGGTTCTTGAGAAGAAGATTTTTAAAAGATTTTTCCTATATATTCCTATGTAAAACTTTGATCGGCCATTTTAGCCCCGCCCTACCCCCGGGGGTCATGACTTGAACAAACTTGAATCTACTCTACCCGAGGATGATTCCACACGAGTTTCATCTTTCCTGGCCCAGTGGTTCTTGAAAAGAAGATTTTGTTAAAATGCCATTAATTTTTTTAAAAATCATGATTATCTCCCCTTAGAAAAGGGCGTGGCCCTTCATTTGAACAAACTTGAATCCCCTTCACCCAAAAATACTTTGTGCCAAGTTTGGTTGAAATCGGCCCAGTGGTTCTTGAGAAGAAGATGAAAATGTGAAAAGTTTACGACAACGACAACGACGACGACAAAGACAACAACAGACGACGGACAAATTTTGATCAGAAAAGCTCACTTGAGCCTTCGGCTCAGGTGAGCTAAAAATATAGGGTCCCATGGCGTTTATAGGTCAAAATGGCCCTTTTCTGCAACTTTGAGAGATCGGCAGTAAATAACATGTTATGTCAAAAATCAATCCCCACTCCTAAAACTTCCCCTGGCTTTTCTATACTTTCTATAATATTTCCCCATTCCATCATTCATTTCAAACATTAATATTTTTACTTTAAAATTAAGATAATTACTTACCTGAATTTAGCCAATCAGATAATGCCTACCCATTCAGTACTCGACTCTACATGCGCCACAAATAAAGCCATGTGCACATCCAAGGTTTGGTACTCTCACTCCTATACTCACATTGTTACCTACCTTGGAATTAGTCAATTTAGTAATTTTTAAAGACTTTAAGCTTACCCGAGTACATGTATGAAATTTGAGTCCTGCAACCTCAGCGTCTTGGGTACTGTGACCTTCTGAACTGATGACACCCTACTGCGGCCAACTGTGTTAGACTAAGATAATTACTTACCTGAATTCAGCCAATCAGATGATGCCTACCCATTCAGTACTCAACTCTACATGTGCACATCAGAGGATTTGGTACTCTTATTGAAAGAAAGCAAAGAACCAAAGATCCATAGCTACCTTACAGACGATTCGGCCTACTCAAGTATTAAAAGAAAATCACTTGTTTCTACTTATAGATTATACACAAAGCTTTTCAATTCAAAATCAAACTCCATGTATGTAATCATTTGTGAACCAGTGTTATATTTTCAAAGTTGCAAGTTTGTTGCATGACAGTAATTTTACTTGATCTAAACAAGATTGTTTGAAATTTTAAAAATAATACAGGCTAACAGCTATGACTTTGGGTTATTAAAATAGTTTAAGACTGTTTTCCCCAAGATACTTTCAATATGCAATGTTGTATTATATATCTCTTTTAAAAATTATTTATACATGTATTTATAAAATGAAAGAAAACATAGGAAAATGCACACAGAGAAAAAAAAATCATAATTAAGTAACACGCACTGTGAGACTCGAACTCAAGATTGTTATGTCATCAATCCAGCATTTTTTTTTTTTATCTTTTATGCAATGTTGTATTATACATATCTTAAAAATTATTTAAACATGTATTTATTAAATAAAAGAAAACAAAGGAAAATGAACACAGAGAAAAAAAAATGAAATCGTAATTAAGTAACGTGCACTGTGAGACTCGAACTCACGATCGTTATGTCTTCAGTCCAGCAATCATACCACCACGCCAGGAAGTCTTGATAACCAAATGGATAAAATTGAGACAGATGTGTTTTTCTGGTTAAGGGTGGTCTTTTCCTACAGTTTGTCATTGTTTAGGGGGGTACCTCAGTATTTACTACATTCTCCATATAAACTGAACAATTTTTATAACTATTATATTAGGGAACTATTAATAATTGAGTATTATTTTTGTGTGAGTTGCTTTAAAGCATGTATAAACTAACATTGTATGACAAAATTTTGGTTAAGGAAAGTATTTAAAAAATCACTACTAGAGTAGGCGAAAGTGACTATCAAATGAGCTATGGCTCTTTGATCTTAAATGGGCGACCAAAAAAAAAGTTATTGGGAAAAGCCAGAAAATTTGTGGAAGGAAGAATGACAGACAGACAGACAGAGTGATTACTATAGGGCACCCACAAATCCTTGCGGTGTCTTAATTAAAATTGAAAATTCTGTAAATTTTATTAAAAACTACTCCTTTAGTTGCAATCTTATTGCAATATGTATATTGCCAGAAAAAAGTGACTTAATCAAGGATTATTATTCTAATTGCTGTTTTAATGTTTGAAGAACAAACTGCTACTTTTCTCTTAGTTTGTTATAAGTATAAACCAGTAAAGCTACAGTCTCAACAGACACTTATGTCTCAACAGACACTTTGTAAGTAGGGCAACCTGTTCAATTTTTTGTGTAGTAAATCATCAAAAAGTGGTGTAATGAGCCTCCTTTCACATGTATGTTTGATGAAATATTTAATAAAATTTTCCTTTTCAGTTAAATATCTTTATCATGTTTATATCTTGCAAATAAACCCTCTCGAAATACTACACTGTACTACATGTTAGACATTCATCAAAACTTTATGTTGATATATTACCTTCAATTTGTAGATGTTTTCTATCTTCAAAACATGTAGACTTTACTGCATGGAAGTCTGATCATTGAAAATGGATGTGGAATCTAATCTTGATCTCAACGAAGATTTCTAAACACAAAAAAAAAACACAATCATTACCAACATATGATACATGTTATCACATAATTTCAACACTATACTCTTCTTTAACAAAAAATTTGCTTTGTATTTATTACTGATAAATTATTTATACTAATTTATATTACCGGTAATTAAATCATTCCAATAATGTCACGTTCTTTCAACCAATGAAAAGGTACCAAATAATTTTTTCATTGATTATAAAAAAGAGCTTAACTTATTATGAGGACCAGTGACTTTGAAATTAAGATTACTAGTATATGTGATAATAAACTAAATCCATTTTTCATCCAGGAAGATGACAGATAATTCCCGTTCAAAATAATGTCAACTCAAAATTAGTCTGAATCTTTATTTTTTTGAGTTCTCACATGAATTTCTATAGCTTCATGATAACTGAAAAACAACGATTTTTTGTGCACACAGGCTTCCAGAGAACCAGTAACATATACATGATCTAAAGTTGTTCCACCCTCTGTTGTGTAAAACTGCACCAACTGCATAAATCCCATAGATTCTAAGAATGTTTGTATGGGTCCTTGGGCTTTGGCATCTTCATTCATGTCACCAATAATGAACAAGTTGCTAAAACGCTTCTTGTAAAAATCCACCACTTTTTGCAATGTGTCAAGAAAATTGTTTACAGGTAGTACACTCGGTCGGTAGAGTACAATGATTGCAATATCCTCCTCATGGATTTCTACAGTTAATCCCTCTATATTCTTGTATTCCAAAGCATTGATCAAGATTGTCTCATTGGTTTTCTTCTTGTACACTCCAACCCCACCACCTTTAGCTGTTTTTAGTCTTGTCATCACATCTTCACTATCATCGTAACACTGGCTACGTGGAATATGGTGAAAGTCAAACCCTGAAATTTCAATATCTCGGATGTTCTCATTTTCTCTCAGCCATGTTTCTGTTAAACATACAAAATCAGCTTTCATCAACCTGCTGTCACAATTCATCTCCTGAAAGTGTCCTCTCAAACTCTGCACATTAAACAATAGAATTGTTTTGTAATTTTCAAACTTTGCTACATTGCATGTCAATTCTTCATCTAAATTGTATCTTACCATTCTATTAAGTGCTAACTTCACATCTAAATCAGCATAAATTTTTTTCTGCAGGACACTTTCATCATTCATCTCAATGAACAGACCATCTTTTGAAGTAACACGGCTGACTGCTACATATGCTTGACCAGGAGAGAAAGTCCGATCTAAGTTCACAACAACACTCTTGGCGGTCATGCCTTGAACTTTATGTGCTGTGCATGCCCATGACAGTTTCAGTGGAAATTGATGTCTGACAATACTCTTTATATTTTTCTCATTCATCTCTTCCTCCACTCTTTTAATTGGGACAATATTCCCTTTGGGTGTTTTCTTCCCTTGTATTTTACCAATACTTGAACTATCAAAAATGACTTCAACTACTTCTACTGCTGGTGCAGGCTGTTTTCTTTTAAACACAAAATTTGAAATATATCCCATTGCACCATTCACTAGTCCATCTTCAACACATACATTTCGTGTCAGCATTACTCTTGCATTCACAGCCAAAAGTAAGGTAGCAGAGAGGCCATCAACTCGGGTACTAACCAAAGGTTTGTCACGTAAAGTTAATTTCCCCGTTGTCTTATCTTTCTGATAATCATCTGCATGCACTTCAATTAATTCCTCACAATTCCCATGCAGCATTTTAAGATTGAATTCATTGGCCTCTTGGTTAGTAGAATAAACATGAAGAACATCATCTGGTCCTTCTCTGATGCATTCCCGCAGTGTTTCCAATGCTTCATCTGATAAAGGTTCTTCACATGTTCGAACACGCAATGAATTCAGAACAGTTGCAAATGCTTTATCTTCACGTTGTCGCATAATTTCATCTAATTCTACAATTTTAAAAAAATCTAGCCAGAAGTCAACTGGATATGAACCATTTTCTTTGTACAATCTTTCATCTTTTCGTTGTTTAACAGGTGGAAGTTGATAAAAATCTCCAACTGCTATCACAGATACACCACCAAATGGATCTTTACATTTTTTGATTTGGACAAGTCGTTCATGAATGTAATACAACAATCTTTTGTACACCATGGAAACCTCATCAATGACCAAAATCTGCAAATGTTCTAATCTCGTTCTTATCCCACTCAAACTTTGTTCCTTCAAGGGTTGATATGGAATTGGTAAAGCTTTTGTTAAAGAAAACACATGATGAATGGTATTTCCTCCAATATTGAATGCTGCTGTTCCTGTAAAAGCTGTGAGAATCACCGATACTGCATTTGGAGAAGGCAATGATTTTTCAAAGAGACGAGAAGCTTCATAGTGTATTGTCTTAATCAGATGGCTTTTCCCTGTCCCTGCTCCTCCAGTTATAAAAATGTGCATAGGTTTTACATTCTCTCCAGTCATTTTCTTGACACACCATTCATGAACAGCATAAAAGATGAGCTTCTGTTTGTCATTCAAACTGCACAGTAAAGGAAGCATCTCTTTTCTGGTGCTTTGAGTCTCTCTTAAATGATATATAGCATCATCAGAGCCACTACACTCAATTTCATTTGTGACCTCTGATTCTGTATTCTCCTGATCATTTCTTAATTTTTCATTCAAACATTCTCTTCGATTTAATTCTGTTTCTGGACATAAACTTGCCCATGCGTCCTCTGGTTCACCAAGCATTTCTAATGCATCCTGGGCATTTTCAATATCATCCTCACTTTTTGAGAAGTAAACATGATTACTGTCCACTATGCTTTTAACTTTTTCCAAGTTTGTGTTTGGTTTCACCCTCACATGTCCACTCTCATAAAATGTCTGGTACAAATCAAATCCAGCTGGTCTCAACTGATTCAGATTCCAGTATGGAAGGAAAAGTTTTAGCAGACACTGATAATATTTCTCAGGTGCGTTATCTCGATGGAATCTTGGATATCGTATTACAGCAGGTTTGCCTCTACTTCTCTTTTGAATGTAACCCTTTCCATTTCTCAATTCATACACACCATCTTTTTTGCCCGTAGGGATCTGAGATTTACTAAGCACTCTGTACTCTGAGCAAAATTCAGCAAGACACATTTTATGGAAAATATTTAACTCTGGGCGGTTTTCATACCTTTCCACAATATTTGTCATCCACATACTATCTTCTTCCTCATCATTGTCATCTGCATTTAAATCATTTTCATCAACCTCAATTTCCCGATTTTTTTTTATTTGTGCAAGAGGCTTACTCAGACGAGTTGGATTTTCCCCCACAGGAATGAAAATGACTTTTCTTGAACTTTCTTTCATCTTCAGATTGCACACCCTGTATACTGCTTCCTGTGCACTGACCTCTCTGTGATTGAGATAAGCTGATCCTACTCTCTTGATGGTATCATGTGCACTCAAATTTCCCTCTGCTGCTTCAAGTTGAGTTTGTTTTAATAGCATTCCCATCTCCCTTTCAGACTTTGAAATGTATGATATAATGTAGACAATGCAGCTGAAAGGGTCTAATACATACTGTATATCCATATTTGCATCCCAGCTTTTGAGCAGGCATGGGTTGTACTGATTTGTCCACATTTCTGTTGGATTTCGTTTCAAAACAGTCAATGTTTTAGAGGCCAATACTCTGTGTGCTTTTTCATACAAATCCTGTGATAAGTTTATATTGCTGAATATTTCCTCTGTTGTTTTAAATGCCTTTGCATCATCCATTACTTCATTCCACACCTTCAACAAAATCTCCTTTGCCTGCACACTACCTAACTCACTACTTGACTCATCCACATTTTGTTCTAATTGTCTTGAAATGAATGTGCACTCTGAAGGCGGTCTTGGAAAGTTGAATCTACATTCTGTTCCTTTCTTCCTGCATGATTTTGAGTGTCCTTTGCTGTGTTGTTGTACATCCAATACAATTTGTCTAAGTTCTTGGTCAGTGTCATTTGATGGCAGAGCACATGTGATATGCCTATCAATGAAGTGACAAATAGTCTCCTCACTGTCCTCATCTAATTTTGGAGCATTCTCAACCCAGTACAAGCAGTGCATATGAGGAGAACCCCTTTGCTGAAACTCAACTCTTACAAAGTAATCTACAATGGTTCCTATTGGTTTTGCTGGTGACATTATTACATTTTTCTGGAATATATGGAACCTGTGTTCAAACATTCTAGCAACAGTTACAGGATTGCTTCTTAGAATTTCACTTTTCTCAGACCAATCTAGATCAGAAGGATTTCTGCTGTCATTCATATGTAGCATAATTGAACCCAGTATTTCATTCCACCTATATTCTGCTGCAGAAAAAGAACAAAACCATGTGGGGATTCCAAGTTGTCGAAGCATAGCAAAAAGATCTTTTTGTGTACTTGACCAATATGCAGGTGTTCCTCTAATTGGTTGCATAAATCGCATAGCCTCATCACTCCTAAGCAGCTTGGCAAGTACAACAGGATTCTGTAACATTTCTGTTGTGACTTGTATCCCTCCATCAAGTTTCGATACAGATTTGCGAATTGAAATTTGTGTTTTCTCAATAACCTGGTTCAATTCAGATAGGTTCTGACAAAAGAAAATGTAATTGGTATCCTTTGCAAATCTGTTATCTGCATTCATCAGCCTGTTGTTAAAATATCGAGAAAGAGTAATCCTTACATCTCGACTTTCATTCCATGAATATTTTCCAGTTGGAAATAAATGAGGAAAAGTTTTTGCTTCATTGCCCTCCTCTTGCAACATTCTTACAGGATTCTGTCCTTCACCCGGAGCAAGATTATAAACATCATCAAAGTAGTGATCAAGAACTTCCTGCGCAATATCTACAGGTTGTAAACACGTATCTGTAGCAACTTCTTGCATGGCACTGTTCTGTTCTTCACTTATTTCTTCACTGTCAAATGCTTCTGGCTGACTGAATAAGGTACTTTGGTCATTATCATTTTCCCATGTTGAGTTGATTTCGACATCATGATACCACTGATTGTTTTCTTTCAGGTAGTTAAGGGCTATCTTAATGTGATTTGGGTTCACAAACTGATATTCATAATATCCCTTGTATGACAACTTTCGTTTGAGTTTCACTCGTAACAAGAGATTTTCATTTTCATTCAGAGGTAAACTGCTTGTTTTCTTTACATTTGATGGCACACATACAACAGGCCCATGTACATTTTGTTGACCGCCTTTTGGAAGCATGGTTACTTTCATGAAAGGTATATGCAGAGCAATTAGATGCTGCTCTAAAGTATTCAGGTCATTGAGCTCTAGTGGAATATCTTCTAAACACATGTTGTTAAATGCTGCTTCAGCTGGAACATTTCCACTCAGAATTTTTCTATGGCATGTAAAACAAATCCATGTTCTTGATTTGGGACAATTAGGAGAACATCCAGATGCACAAGTATGAACAAACTTCTTATCAATGCATAAATTTGCAACATGAACTGCCTTCATACTTTTCTCATACATTTTAAGTGTACATCCTTGCACCTGGTTTTCAAACAAAAGGCGATGGCAGCAGCAACATACATATTCTGGTCCATGTATCACACATGCTTTAAATGATTTCACTACTTCATCAATATTTTCAAGCATTTCATGCAGTGCTTGTCTTTGTTTTTGTACCAATTCCTTTTTCTGTTCCTTTATTTCTGCACTGGAATGATATCTAACTTTACTGGCTGTTTTAACCTTCTCTTGATGCTGTTTGTTTGTTTTATACTTTTGTCTGCCTCTTTTTTGTGTGTCTGGTTTGTTTTATATTTCTGTCTACTTCTTTGTTTGACTTCTTCTTTGTGGGCCTGGTTTGTTTTATACTTCTGTCTACTTCTTTGTTTCACATCCTCTTTGTGAAGCATGTTTGTTTCATACTTTTGTTTACTTCTCTCTTTGACTTTTTCTTTGTGTAGCTTGTTTGTTTTGTACCTATTAACACCAAGCTGTTTTAAATTTTCACGATACTCTTGATCATTTCTGTATCTGTTCCTAGCATCTGCAATGCATTTTATTTTGAATTTTGGTTCAGTTCTGTACTTTGCATTTTTCTTACTCAATTTCTTCTCTTTAGCACTTAAACCTGATTTTTGAAGTTTGCCTCTTTCACTTTGTTGTTGTCGTTTCTGTTTTCTCTCTGCACCAATTTTCCTTCCTTTTTCTTTCAAACATAACAGATTTTGTAATGAAGTCAGTGTACTATTTTCTCCACATGTAATAGATGTAACAACATTATAATGATTCTGATTTATATGATCTAGATAAATGCCACCAAATGAAGTCACATTTTCTTCTGAATTTACCATTTGTCCGGAATAAGTAACCCATCTGTTCTGTGAGTATGTATGAATTTCACTTTTCAGTAAATGGGATAGTGCTAGAATCTCTACTTCAGTTGCCCATTTTCCGTCCCTAAGCATGCCTGACAAGGAAATGTGGTTTTCTACAGATTTTTCACCTGGCCTTAAGAACGGTGAGAAAAGTAAACCATTTTCCAAGAGGTGATTGCATATTGCTAAACGTATTGTCTGATGGTAGTCTTGTATTCCCGTCAAACAGAATGAGATTGCTCGAAAGAAACAATTTCCATCTGGCTCAACTGGTACACTGTTCATTGGTACTGTAATTTCCTGTCCATACTGATGTTGATTTTCACACTGATTCACAGAAAATGGTATTCCTAAGATTTCACAGTGTGTTTTCTTTTGATCACTTGAAAGTGGTAAAAATCTTATCTGATGGTTCTCACTCCCAACAAATTCTATCTCATTATCATTTTGTAATCTTGAACTACTACATTGAAAGTCGGCAAAATCATTTAATTCTTTTTCTACATCACTGAACTGTGATTCTTTATCAGTGCCTTCTTCATTTCCAAATGAAAGCTGTCTAGCAGAGCATTGCACTCCAGTTATTTCACACTCAATTGCTTCAGTATAACCCATTGACCTAGCTAAAGACACAATATGATTGCATAAATCTTGAACAGTTTTGTACAAAACTCGTGTACTTCTACCGTTTACACTCTGAAATCCTGCAGAAGACCTGGAGTGGGAATCAAATGTGAAAAAATTATGGTGAGATTTCCCAATCAAAAATGTATTTCCACCAAAACATACAAAACACCCGTCACTGTCATCAAGGGCTATTTGAAGTGCCTCTAACAATTCATGAGCATTGAATACAGCATAATCCATTACAACATTTGCTAAGTTTATCAAACTTGGTAAAGACTCGTTTGCTTTAAACTCATACAGCCTACCAAAGCATTCGAAAAACTGAGGTAACTCACTTACTAAAAGGTATCTGCTTGCAATTGTAGAACTACACTGTAGATATGAATACAACTCATCTCCTGTTGCCAATATTTTGTTCATATCTGCTGATTGCCATTGTTCACAATTCTTCAGTTGATGATATGCCAGTGCTGTTAAAGAGTTAGCTACACACTGAGTTCCTGCATTTTCACCAAACATTGGATCTCCCTGATGAAATGAACCTTGAACAGACAAATTCTGATTTCTTGAACATTTACCTTCACTTGCTCTAACATCTTTTCTATATTCCTGGACAGATTTTTTAGATTCTCCGTCACATATTTCTGATTTCTTTTCAAATTTCTCTGATATCTTTTCAAATTTCTCTGATTCCTCTATTATTTTCTTAGTTTCCTCTATATTTCCTTTGTTTTCCTCTATATTTCCTTTGTTTTCCTCTACATTTCCTTTATTTTCCTCTATATTTCCTTTGTTTTCCTCTATATTTCCTTTGTTTTCCTCTCTGTGCCTTACATCTTTTTTTAAAGCCCTGCTGACCTCTTCCCCCTTGGGAGGTATCAGCTGCGCCTGACCTGCTGAACCAGACATCATCCAAATGTCCGATTCAGGTACTCTCGGTGGAGTACAAACCCACGCTGGGGAGTCAGGGGATGCTACCTTGTCCTTTGGGACAATCAGACGACTTCCCCGAGGAGGTGACAACCTCGGGGCTGAGTGCATTTTCTCACTAGGAGAGGCCTGCACCCTGGCCAAGGGTTTTAGCGAAGTAGGTGGCAACCCTATAGAGCCACATTCTGACCTAGGAGCAGCTGCATCCACTGTCAGTGTTTCTTCTAATGGAGGATCAGGGCAGGACTGAAGTCTCTTTTGCCTCTTCCTCATAGCATCCCTCTTGCGCTCTTTATTGCCAGTGAGTGACTTTCTCTTAGGCATCTATCAAAAAATTAACTCATTAACTAACAAGAGATGTTTGTAAAACATTTATGCCCCGTCCCCCCAAATTGGAATTCTTCCAAGTCCAAGGGGCATAAATCTGTCAACAAGAGGCCCACGGGCCTTATAGGTCACCTGAGTATTGTTTTCTATATAAAATTTTGATTGCCAATTTTCACCGCGCCCTACTCTCGGAGGTCAAAATTTTAACAAATTTGAATCTACACAACCTGAGAATGATTCCATATAAATACTAGATGTTGTCATGAGACAGTAATACTGAGACAGTAATACCCGCACTAAAGTGTTTGCCTCTAAATACACACTCGTACATATTGGGCGGCTTTCCAAGGAAAAGTCAAAATAATTCTAAAATTTACACAAACATATATATATTCGTTAAATTGACTATGAAAATTCTCAGACCCTGTGACATATGACTCAGAACCTCTTATAATATGTATTTTACATGCTTAATTCATTACCACTTTGAATTTAATTAATGACATAAATTAGATTTTGATAAATGTTTTGCTCATAATAGGACCTTTTAAAATTTACAAATCCCCCCCCCCCCTCAACACCACAAACACACAGCACATACCTTTTTTAGAATAGGCTTAGATATGAAAAAGTTTTGTTAAAACATCATTTGTTATGAATTAATTTAAAATTTGTTCTTGTACTTTACATGTTCACATGGTTAACATGTGAACTCCTTTTGGAAAAATTCTACATTACATTGGGTTGCATCATCCATTATCATATTTTTAGATTAAACACCATTCGGCCTACCTCTGTCGATTCCCACTTCATCTAATAAGGTGACTGAATGGATGAAGGTTTGCCGAATGGGATAGCATAAGCACATGCTGCAGTCTGGTGTGTATTGGATTAATTCATTTTGTGTTATAATTGGATTATATTTCATGGAGTTGACGAGACCAGTATGACAGTCAGTAAGTACAAGTTTAAGTATAGTGGGGGTAAAATAAATTCAAATGATTATAGGTTAAAGTTCAAAAAGGGTCAAAGATCATCGCTGCTACACTAGACAAATTTCATATAGTGAAGTTATCTGCCGTTGTCGATGTGACATTCAGTTACTGCCAATACTGATGCAGATCCAGAATTTTTTTTCAGTACTGGGGAGGGGGGTTCACATCTCAGTAAAAAAAATCCAGCCCACAATTTCCTGACAAACAGGAGAAAAAAAATGAAAACAAATGAAACTAGGGCTTTACAGATGTTCCCCAAACGCTCCCCAACTCCCTTTTGGTGCTATATTCCCTTTAAGCTCTATTAAATATGACATTATGTCTATCTTTATTTTAAATCCCATCCTATTTGGTTGGAAAATAAGGGCATATAACCATTCAAAGTTTAAGCCAATCAGATTTCAGCGAACATGCATGCACGTGATTTCATGAAAATATTATATATCATATTGTAGGATATCTTAATGCATGACTATGTTTAAATTTTAAAACATTTCGTCAAAAAACAAAAAAGATATTGAGATTTTTGTTTCAGCCAATCAGAGCAAACTGCACGTGCACGCACGTGCATAATGACTATATCTTCTTGTAGGAGCTTCTTATATCTATCTATGTTCTAAATCCCATCCTGTTATGTTGAAATGTAAGGGAGTTATAGCCATTTTAAATTTCAGCCAATCAGATTTCAGCGCACGTGCATGCACGTGATTTCATGAAAATATCATATATCATATTGAAGGATATCTTAATGCATGACTATGTTTTAAATTTCAAAACATTTCGTCAAAAAACAAAAAAGATATAGAGATTATTCTTTCAGCCAATCAGAGCAAAGCACACGTCCACGCAGGTGCATGATGACCAAACCTTCTTGTAGGAGTCAACTATGTCTCTCTATGTTCTAAATTCTATCATGTTTGGTTAAAAAACAAGGGAGTTATAGCCCTTTAAAGTTTAAGCCAATCAGATTGCAGCGCATATGCACGTGCATGTTTTCATGACAATTGTTATATATCATATTGTAGGAGATTCTAAAGTATGCCTATATTTCAAATTTCATAGCATTTCTTAAAAAAAAAAAACAGAAAAGATATTGAGTTTTTTGTATCAGCCAATCAGAGCGAAGCGCACATGCAAGTTCGTGCTTATTTGAGTGTGTCATTTTATCTACGCTATTCATATATCCTTATATAATGAGTTTCACATTATTTCATCAAAAAATATAAAAGTTATAGCTATTTTAAGGATATAAGAAATTTTGCGTGTTGCACGCGCCTGCACGTGCATGCGTATGCGCGCAAAAATGACCTTCCCTGCGACCACCTACACTACACACCTATTAACCCTAAAAAGGTTTTCGCTTTTCGCTCAGTTGGATGAACAGTTTCTGAGAACATTTGCGGACAAAAAAGTCCGGAGAAGAAATAAGAAAAAAAAAATAAGAAGAAACACAGTAAAAACAATATGTTCCCAAACTCTGTTTCGGGAACATAATAAAAACAATGATAGTGGGGTCAAATCCGTCAATGTTTTTTAAGTTTTAGGGAGGAGGTCCAAATTTTATACTTTATTTGCTTCAGTAAAGTTTATTGTTTATTTTCTTCCAGTGACCTTCAATTTCCCAAAATGACCTTGGGTCAAGGTCATGACACACCCTTGGGTCATGGGCAATCTTTGTTTGAAATGAGAACCTACCAAGTTTATCCATAAGAAAGATATGGACCGGACACAAATTATGAAAATTTTCTTCCAGTGACCTTGAACTTTCCCAAATGACCTTGGGTCAAGGTCATGACACATCCTTGGGTCATGGACAATCTTTGTGTGAAATGAGAACATACCAAGTTTATCCATAAGAAAGATATGGACCGGACACGAATTATGATATTTTTCTTCCATTGACCTTGAAATTTCCCAAAATGACCTTGGGTCAAGGTCATGACATACCCTTGGGTCATGGGCAATCTTTGTGTGAAATAGAAACCATACCAAGTTTATCCATAAAAAAGATATTGACCAGACAGGAATTATGAAAATTTTCTTCCAGTGACCTTGAACTTTCCCAAATGACCTTGGTTCAAGGTCATGACACATCCTTGGGTCATGGACAATGTTTGTGTGAATTGAGAACCTACCAAGTAAGGGCAAAACGATTACACGTGTAAACGGAGACGTTTCGATTATATGCTCTAAACGTTTACAGTTTCAGTAAACGTTTACACGAAGGTCATTATCAATGTCTTCAGAAAAAATGTTGACCACAAACAAATTGTTTTATTTCAAAATTTACAAAAGAAACACTGACTTTGACAATTTGATAAGCAACAATCTAAACTGGAAACATATAGAATGAGAATATCTAAAACCCGATATGGGCTAACATAATTCATATTTCCGAGTTGCTAATAGGAGCGATGTTTTACGACACTTAAAATATAAAACTTGATAATTATATTTTGAATATATTTTTTGAAAGTCTTTGAAAAGTTTAAATATAGTCAGCAGGTCTTGTTTTACTTCTTTCATGATTAAAAGATCCATCTTTACTACGTCCGGTAGCCAAACAAACCAAGCAAATGGGTGACGAGGTCGTAAGTGAATGAATTTAATGCGCCTCAAATTCTTACGGTTAAATCACAATAACAAACAATAAATTTGTAAAAATAACTCAAACTTATATTAAAGTGAAAGAATTGATTATCAAATTCGACTTTCATGAGTAAGTAGCCATTAAAATCCAACATAGAATATCTCTCGTTTAAACGGAATCGTTTCAATTACTGCTATCCGTTTAAACGTTTACAAAATTTAGTAAACGTTTCACCCTTACTACCAAGTTTATCCATAAAAGATATGTATCAAATTGATTTATGAAAATTTTCTTCCAGTGACCTTGAACTTTCTCAAATGACATTGGGTCTAGGTCATGACACACCCTTGGGTCATGGGCAATCTTTGTGTAAAATGAGAACCTACCAAGTTTATCCATAAGAAAGATATGGACCCGACATGAATTATGAAATTTTTCTTCCAGTGTCCTTGAACTTTCCCAAATGACCTTGGGTCAAGGTCATGACAAACTCTTAGGTCATGAGCAATCTTACTGTGTAGTAGTACATTCTAATGTCCCTCTGTAAGAAAGATATGGACCGGACATGATTGCACAGACAGACGGACGGACGGACAGACGGACAAGGTGATTCGTATTTACCCCCCCAAACTTCGTTTGCGGGAGGTATAATTAAAATGATAAACATTTTTAGACTGAATTTAACAATTAATGGAGATTTATGAACAGTGTGCATGAAATTATATGTATAATACAAAAAAAAATACTTTATTATGATATATTAAATCACCATCAGGCGACCATAATTTGATTTTTAGTTTTACGGATTTTTTTTTCAAGAAAGGTCAAGTCGGAGGACGAAAAAAAAAAAAAAAGACAAAAATCATTCTAGCAACGACCTTTTTCACATATAAAAAGTCATGTCCCATTTCACTGTAATATAAAACAAAACAAAAAACAACTTACAAGATATTTTTTTTTTTTAAATATTAATATACATTGCATGTATAAATGTTGTTATTTATAAAAACTACAACTTTTAATTCAAACATTGTTTAATATGAGTACCATGTAATATTTGAAATTATAAAAATTTAATTATGTTCTTCACTGTATAGTTTGCACTTTCATTTGAGCGTCATTTGAATAATATTCAGGGTAAATATCGAAGTTTAACTTGGCAATTAAACGAATTAATAAAATTCTGCAGATGCTCTGAGTTTCCAGCTTTCAACTGATGGATGAATGGATTTTTCTCATTATAAGAAACAAGAGATCTGTTTCCTGGATTTAATAAAGATCTGAAATTGAAGGAACTGGATGTACCTGTTAGCCAAACTTAAAACTTAAAACATTTTTAAAAATTACATCTGTAATCTATTGAGAATGAATTAGATAGATTCTTAGATCCTGCATTCTTTTTTTTTTTACTCTAAGTACATATGATATCAAAGCATTATTGTAGTCCTGTTCCAATCTGCTAAAATTATATTTTGAAATTCAGAAACTTTATTACCCTGTTTAGCTACATAAATTCAAAGAAGTCTTCTAGAGGTACTGTCAAGTTGCTCTGCAGTTTCAAGGGTTTTTATATACTGGTCTTGATGTAGGATTTGCTAAGTCACTGAATCTCGTAATCCGCGGTGTTCCCTCTGCAGACTGTCACTCTTTATTAGTTACCATGTACTTGCTTTCATTTCCTCTTTAAATTAATAATAAAGTAATCCTACTGTATAGCTGGGTTAGCTTGGGTAGAGTTCATGTCTTTCCTGATCACTGTATTATTTATGGAGGAATTATTGTGTTTTAGGCGCATATAAACTTGTTTGCAGCAAAGTATCAAGTAAATTCATATCGTTATTTACCATCCTTTTTGTGAAATTTCCACATCTAGTATCTCTGTCTTTGAAAAACAACACTTTTTATGAGGATAATGAGCAATTAGAACTGCAATTACATCTGGTAGCACAGTTAACATCTTGATTATTACCTGTTATCAGTGGCAATAAGCAGATTAGCTACCAGTAAACACTGCATGACAGCCATTTTTGTTTTGACTTGTCAGTATTTTACAAATCGAAGAAGGTAAAAAATCCGGATTTTTTCGAAATTGGTAGAAACAGCAATTAAAAAAATAGAGAGAGACATGCAATGGGGAGGGTTCAGAATTTGTAGACTCTCGATAAAATCATAGTTGACAGCTCACCTTCTTCTACCATTCGGCACATGTGTTTTTTTCTAAGTTTCTGTGATTTGCTTTTATAAACACAGGTTTGACAAAAGCGGATTGAAAATTTCCGATTTTATTTTTTTTTTGAAATGCAAATTTTTAGAGTCGGCGGATCCGTAAAATTAAAAATCAAATTATGGTCGCCTCACCTTCATTCACTTGAGAGCTTACTAAGGCGAAATGGGAATACTTAATTTTACAGTTTAGGCAAGATGGGAACAAACCCTTTAACCTTGCTGATACGTTTTAAGTGGAATGGGCTATACACACGGCTTCCACATTTCATAGGTTTATTTCTTGTGACAAGACCTTTTATTTGGGTACCATTAATTTTGACCTCTTGATTGCTTGACCTAGGATTTACACATTTTTACGAGAAAAATACCAAACTTTAAACTTGGCCTTAATTTTGATCAGTAGGTGCTTTCATGTTTAACATGTGTATTCAATGTGGATTGTCAACAGGTATAAATATGTTTGATCTTGACCCTAGAGTTTGAACCACTTTAAAGAAAAATTTAACCTCGTCAATTTACTTTGGAACAGGAAGTATTAGGGATTACTTATTTTACATGTGTATTCCTTGTGACAGAACTTTCTTCTCATACCTACAATTTGAACCCTTTGACCTTGACCTTCGAGTATGACATATATTTGAGAAACTTCAACTTTGCCTTAGGCTTCTATACAGGGGCATCAGTGTTTCACAAACACATCTTGCATTATTATTTGGTGGTGTCTCGATCCATATGAGGGCAAAATTCCCGAGAGAGATGTTTTCACAACAAACAAACAAATTACTTAAGAAAATATAAAACATGAATATCTTGGTCATGCACATCTCTGCATGAAAAAAAACAGCTTTTCAAATACTGTAACCATATTTTAACCCTTTCAAAACACTCAGCTTTTCTGGTTTCCTTATCATATAACATCTGTCGTGACGTGTTGTCCACCTGTTTGTCTGAAAACTTTTTACATTTTTAACTCCTCTAGAACCACTGGGCCAATTTTACCCAATTCATATAGAAATATGTACTTTTGTATGTCAGACTGTCCATCGGTCTCAATATAAATATTAATCTTGGTCATCACGATCATATCTACTGAATGAGAAGAGACAAGGTATTCATATCAAACATGTATTTCTATTTACCTGTGAGAATGGCATTGTTTTTTTTTTTTTTTTTTTTTTACACATGACCTAAAAGTTTGACGTACTTGTACAAAAATTAAATTGGTATAAATTCATCATTCTGAAAGATAAAAGTTACGGTATTCATATTATAATGCATGTATATTATTACCTGTCATAAGACCTTTCAAATAAATCATGACTTTTGACTCTGTGACCTTTGACCTTGAAGCTTAACCTACTTTTCAAAAATGTTGCATTTGCTTATAATTTTTGATTGAGAAGAGATATATGACTCTCATATTTGACATGCACATCAATTACTCATAAGAATTGAGATGTTTCCCAGCATGCGATGCTTTTTTTTTTACCCTTTGACATTGATGTTTTACATAATTTTAAAGGACTTCAGGGCTTTTTGCATAAAGAAAGTTCCACGCCACAGCAAGATACGCCCGCAGAAAATTACAATTACAACATATCCTAAGTGCAGGAAATCATTTCAATCTTGATTTTAAGATTTCAATGATTTTTACACATCTTAAAAAATTTGTTTATCCATCTCCTGTGGTGTATGCATTAATTATAACAAATATTGCATCATTCATAGATTTCTATACTGGTTGTGCAGGGTTTAAACTTAACTGAAATTTCCACGAGCCATGTGGGCTCCTGACATTTCAAATTTAGGAGCCCACTGCTAAATTTGTTAGCCCACAGTCTCTGTGATTTTTTTTTTAAAAGCATAGATACTGGGACAAAAAGTAGATACAAATGAAATACATATATAAAGTCATCTGTTTAAAATTGGAGTTCTTACTTTATAAAAATCAGATGTCATATAAATATTGAATCAAAAGAAATGAATTTGTATTCAATAAACATTTTTACTATCTTTTTTTTTTTACTTGGTAATACATGTATATAAATACGTAGCTGTGGTACATGTCTTCAACTGATAAACTGACAATGACACAATAAGATTTTATAGGTTAAATATTTTAAATACAACATATCTAAATAGGTGAAAACACTTACTATTCATATGACTGAGTAGTTGGGAGTTAGTAAAATTGTATATCTCTCACGTATCAACCATTTACAGAGGGTTGGAGGAAATTCGGATTAGGAAAAAAGACGATCGTTTTAGGGAATTTCACAAATCCTGTAGTACTTTAAATGGAAAAGATGAAGGATATTTACGAACAATAGGACCATACTGCTGTGATTTATTTCATTTTTCTGTAGTTTTAAATCAAAAACCTGCATGAAATATCTGTTTTTCAGCAGATTTTCAGTAAGGTGACTGGGAATGAATTCGGCCCCCTGCAGAATTTTTATTCGCCACGTGGGCGAGCAACTTACAAATTTTATGAGCCCACACCAATTTTTACTCGCAATTTGCGAGTGGGCGAGCGTTAAGTTTAAACCCTGTTGTGTTAGACCTTGCCAAATGCCTATCATATCAAACACTATCAAATTAGTCTTCACAACTTAATTTATACCTAATTAATTTTGAAAATAAAAGACTGGTTATCAAATATAAACTGACCAACAGTTCTTCTGCCTAACTCCCAAAGGATACAGATAAGACCATTCTATGAAGAAATGAAAGAGCCATGCAGCTAGCCTTCCTACATTGAACACATTAATTAATCTTTAACTGGATGCTTTTCTACTCATTACTCCCAAAAGATTGTTGGATCTCCACTATCTACCATAAAACATTTTCAAAACTTATAAAACATCAATGATTTTTTTTTAGATATAATGTCACACAGTTTTCAATATGAAATTCATATGGACATGCTGATTTCACCCCCACCCCCATAAAATTAGTTTTTAAGTTCATAATACTATGTAATATCAAAATAGTTTAATAGGCAATATCAAATTAGTTTTCATTACTTGTCATAAAATTCATTTTAAAACTTGGGCTAGCCAACAAGTTATTTTTAATCCAACAGGCTTACCCATTTGGCCCAATACTCAAGGAATATAGATAGCACCGATGCTGTTACAGGCAGCTACTCCTCACACTAAACTCATTAATTTCTCTCTCTAATTTGACGATGCTTTTACAGCTACTCCTCACTAAAAAAAACTCATTAATTTCTCTCTCTAATTTGACATGCAATTTTCTGTTATCGAAATTCTTCTTCACCAGTGCTTGAAAATTACGTACACTCATGCGAGTGGTGGAATTTCTCTTAACATACATAATATTTGTTATAGATTGCTGTCAAGTATATGCTAAAAAAAAAAGTATTTTCTTGATTTAACATTTTTCTAATAAGGATAGTGCAAAAGTTTTAGATTTTTTGAATGTGTAAATGAATAGAAAAAGACATTTAAAAAAAAAAAAAAATTTCACTTAAATTAAAGGTCACAGTGAAAATGAAATAGGTCACGACACACCTTCTACCTTGAAATGACCAAGTTTAATGATTCTAAGTCTACTAGTTTTCTAGTTATGGACCAGACAGGGTTTTTCCATATTTGGCTATAATTTTTTAATTATAGGTCAGAGCGACCTACTTCTTGTGCGCAACACACCTTCTACCCAATATGTATAAGCTGACAAAGTTTGATAACTCTAGACCTTATAGTATTAAAGTTATGAGCCGATATGAGAAAAGCTAACAGACAGACACAAACCCTATAACATATTATTATATAGTCTATCTATAGTCCCTATATAATCTATACAAACGCAAACAGTTCATAACACTACATATTCACTGGATTTTAGGCCGTATTCACCGGAGGGTCAATTCGCATGCAACAGCATTGTGACGTCACAATCAAAATATCAAACAACGTTGTAAACAATGGATGCAACGGCCGCAGCGAGCTACGTATCTGTGCAGGAAAACGATTATTCAAACCTTTTTCAGGATTATTTTTTAACATCTGAACGTCTTACACATAGCCAAAGTCAGAAAGGAAAACACAGAGGTTACAAACAGTAATCTGGAGATTTTTTTTATTTTCAACAATGGAAGATCGCAAATGAAAATGGTGTCGTCATACAGCCTTGAATGTCTTATCTATACAAATCCCGACTATATAATAAAACAATTATGGACTCTTTTAGTGTTGAATATGGTTTGTTATTCACCAGAAAAATATTCATATTGACCGAGGCGAATTTCTACGTCCAAGGGGCATAACTCTAACAAAAAGGATGCGATCATATTCAAAACAGAACTTGGCCTAGATATTTATCTAATATACCTGTATGCTAAATTTCATTTCAATATGTGCAACCTCTGCAAAGAAAATGAACGGAAACTGCAAATAAGTGGAAATTTTCTAAGTCCAAGGGGCATCACTCTTATAAAAATGGTGCGATCGTACCCAAAAGAGAACTTTACCTACATATTCAGCTCATAAATCTGTATACTAAATTTCATTTTAATATGTGCCACCTCTGCAAAGAAAATGAACGGAAACTGCAAATAAGTGGAATTTTTCTAAGTCCAAGGGGCATAACTCTTACAAAAATGGTGCGATCATACCCAAAACAAAACTTGACCTGTATATTTACTTGATAAACCTGTATAACAAATTTCATTTCAGTATGTGCAACGGTTGTGAAGAAAATGAACGGAAACTAAATGGACCAACAGACCGACCGACGAACAACAGCAAAGCAATATGCCCTCCCTTCTTTGAAGGGGGGCATAAAAAGTTTTACCCCAATTTTCAAGCTTAGCCCTCTAGCCCTTCTGGTTCCAACACCTAAGGCATAAGCAGTTGAGAATGCCAACTATTAATGCAATGATTTATAGCACTAAGCATTACAATGCAATGCTTCAAGATTTATTTGTCTACTCTCTTATTAAGCAGGTCTTATCATTAGTTGCTTCAATTTAAGCATGTAAGTCTTAAGGCCAACTTTTTATCTATGTTAAGCATCCACAAACAAATTGTTTTAGTTAAATATTTGTGAAATTAAAGAAAAACACACATTAATGTTGAAATGTCACAAATGTAAAACTTTAAAACAGGTTGTTCTCTTTTCGGATCAGCATCTCTCTTTTCTAGAATGGTGGAGTGCAGTTATACCATTTTTTTTTCAACATGTCCATTAACTAAATAATAGTTTAAGTTAATCAGTTAATAACAATGACAGAAAATTTCTCAAATGACTGAGAAATTTTACAACTGGACATAAAATGTGCCTTTTCCCTGTGGGTTTGTGTGTCTATTCAGCTTAGAAAGATAGCTTTTCAAATTTGGGGTGGATGCTACACAAATACAAAATATTGGAATGGCCTAAATAAAACAAAATAATGATATTTTAATTCAATTATTTGACGAGTCGACAACATCAATTTCCATGCGTTTGTGGCAATAGTTCTTAAATCAAGAAGACAAGAACTAATCCATCAGTAATTCCCTTGGTCGCCATATTTGACGAACGAAAATTTTCAATATATGCCTACACCAAGTACTTACTTTAAATCTCTTTGATCAGGCTCGAGCAGCAAGTTGGAATTAATAACAATCTTATCTCTAAGGATCTTTGAAGACTTTCTTGAAATCTTTCCAAAAACGATGTCAGATTGCTGTCTATAAAGTGTAACCTGCAAGTCTCTGTCTACTGCAGCTGCAAACACTGGAAATGACAATGACGTCACATTCGGGCAAGGGTAAAAGTAGACTTCCCGACGCCCGACTATCTACAGCCCCGGAACGATATGCACATAGCGCGAGACGAACGTGAGATTACATAAATGTTAAATATGATAAAAAAAATTGATCAATATAAATTGGAAAGATATTTTTTTCTCAAAAAAAGGGATTTAATATAAATATATATAATGCCCAAATGATTTTAAAGCCATTTTATCTGTCATTTGTATGTGTATATATGTACATGTGTTTTTGCATGTTAATTTATGCTGTAAATGTTTTCTTGTGATATTTTAACTGTGATAGTCGGTCTAAGAGCTCTACAGAGCTCATGTTTCTTGTTATGTATTGTATACAATGCCGACTTTAAATAAAATTTACTTACTTACTTACTTACTTAGGGGTTTGTAATCATATATATAGCATGTTAATGAAGACAATAGTCAATTGTCACATTTGTTACTTCAGTATATAAACAGTGTCACCCCTTGGGTAAAATATTTTTTTTTGATATGGTCAAAAACAGTAAAGGGAAAGACACCTCCCGTCGTTTTTGTGTTAATCCTGTTATTTTAAAATCACACTTTAAATTGTATTTTATAAAATTACTTTGGTATAAATAATTTATTTCTTTCACATATTTTTATAACGTATTTCATTTAAAAAGTATATATATCTTTCCCAATTTATCTTTTTAAGTTATTGTTAACAGTACCGTCATTTAAACGCATTCACTAAAATTCACAATGTTTAATGGAAAAGATTGTTTTAATAAAAAAAAACTCTCCACTAGGCCCTAAATATCCAATTGTCAAAGGTTATCAGAGAAAAACTGCATATTATGACCATTTAATTTATGAAATTCACATTCATATCGCTTACAGATAATTATATATAAGGTATTTAAAATTATTTTTACATAATTATTATGTTATAAAGCTTGACACTAAAATGTATCATTTCTTCATCTTTTTTTATTATTTTTTTTTTTATTATTATTTGTCCGTAATCTTTTCATCTCCAAACATTCGGATGGCCTCAGCTGACTACATCTTATAAAATTCACAATTTTTCGGTACTTTCCGACAAGCGGATAAACCACGAGGTTGTTTAGCCTGGTTCCCTGTCCCTATTTTGCTTCGTACACTCCGCGTCACTGTAAGGATGAGCCAGTGGACCAGGTTAGAGGTTGTTTCACCGACCTCCGACGGAAGGACCCGAATGGTTTTCCCGCCGCACGTGCAGCGTCAGATTAATTCCCGCGCTCAGATCAGTGAAACGAATGATGGCCAGAAATATGCTAAGAACAAAAGTCTACATTTTGACAGAAAAGATTAGGCGGAAAAACGACCGGGGCTCTTTCCTAATCACCATGGCCTATGTAGACCTTGAGAAATCCGTCAAACAAATTACATTACCACACCTGAAGCACTTTGAAAACAGCCTTCAAAAAGGAAAATATTATTTGTGCTCTAATGTAGCAGCCATCGGCGACACTGTCCGCCTTACAGAATCCTCAAAGGTAAGAACATTCTACACTTTATTCCAAGATAGAAATGCCTATAATTTTACTTATCATTTATGCTACCAACAGTTCAGGGCCCCAATATCTTGGTCTTTTATTTCTTGTGAAAGACAGAAAGAGGGATGAGAAGGGAAGAGGTATTTATTACTCTTACAGTTTACAGTTGACATACACTAAAGTCGCCAATATTACAGGTCACGTCTAGATGTTTCATTGCAAAGTTCTTCAATCCTGCTTTTATCACAAGGGGATACAGTTTAAGCTTTATTGTCCCCTAAAAATTTTGTTTTTAAAAAGTTATGAAATTAACATTAACAATAGTTGAGAAGATGAATATGATAAATCGTTAAAGAATATGAAATAAAGGAGAGGCTTTCTGGAAATATGACGTCATTTGGTACGTTTCTAAGTTTAATGCAGAAAAGCACGTTTCTTTCCTAATTTTCCTTTTAAAAATTGTCTCCCACTGTCGCCCACTTTCATTTTTAGCTCACCTGAGCTGAAAGCTCGGGTGAGCTTTTCTGATCAACCGTTGTCCGTCTGTCTGTAAACTTTTTACACTTTCAACTTCTTCTCTAGAACCACTGGGCCAATTTTAATCAAACTTGGTGCAAATCATCCTTGGGTGAAGGGAAATTTAAATGGTTTAAACCAAGGGCCAAGACCCCTTCCAACGGGAGATAATCAAGAAAATACAAAAATACGGTGGGGTCATTAAAAAATCTTCTCCTCAAGAACCACTGGGCCAGAAAAGCTGAAACTTGTGTGGAAGCATCCTTAGGTAGTGTAGATATTAAATTGTTAAAATTATGACCCCCGGGGGTAGGGCGGGGCTTTAATAGGGAATCCAAGTTTTACATAGAAATATATAGAACAAATCTTTAAAAATCTTCTTAGAAAACACTGGGCCAGGGAAGCTGAAACTGATATGGAAGCATCCTTGGGTAGTGTAGATATTAATTTGTTAAAATCATGAACCCCGGGGGTAGGGCAGGGCCACAATAGGGAATCCAAGTTTTACATAGAAATATATATAGAACAAAAAGATCTGCATCAGCTAAGTTACTCAGGTGAGCGATGTGGCCCATTGGCCTCTTGCTGGATATATAAAATGCTATAAACAGGTCCAGGAAAATCACTATATTTAGCTATATAGGTATATCTACCTATATAGCTTTATTTACCTATAAAATATTGCTATATTTAGCTATTTTGGAATAAGTTTCAGTTTTATGAAAAGCAGACAAAAAGTCGCACAATGAGTCAGTATTAGTTTTCAACATATATATCAAAATCTTTCTGAAAGAAAATTCCACTGAAAATTAATGTCTTGTGCAATTTTTAGGTCACCTGAGTAACTCGGATGACCTATTGCCATCTGTTTTCGTCCATCGTTGTGTGTTAACATTTGAACATTTTCAGCTTCTTCTCTGATACCACTGAACCATTTTCTACCAAATTTGGTATGCAGCATCTATGGATGAAGGGGAACAAATATTGTGAATTTCATGGTCCCCGTCCCCCTGGGGCCTGAGGGGTGGGGCCAAACCTACTAAAATTATTGCAATCTTAAAAAATCTTTTTCTTTACTCCCTGACATCAAGCAGACAAACTGTTAGCATGAATGTAATAAGCAATGAGTCCTCTACCTAAATTGTGAAATTTATGGCCCCAGGGTCAGAGGTTCTAGTGCTAGGGCGGGACTATATATATTATATAGTGAAAATGCATTATTTCTTTGAAAATCATCTTCTCTGCTTCTGGGTATTAGATAGTTATGATGAGCAAGAATGCCTCTTCCACATTTGTTAATTTTATGGCCCCAGGGTTAAGGGTTCTAGTGTTAGGGCGGGGCTCTATAGATTATATATAATGAAAATGCATTTATTCTTTGAAAATCTTCTCGTCTGCTTCTTGGTTTTAAATAAACTAAGTACATAGTTATGATGAAAAAGAGTGCCTCTTCCAGATTTGTGAATTTTATGGCACCAGGTTCAGGGGTTCTAGTGTTGGGGTGGGGCTCTATAGATTATATGTAATGAAAATGCATTTATTCTTTGAAAATCTTCTCAGCTTCTGGGTTTTAAATAAACTAACTAGGTACATAGTTATAATGAGCAAGAGTGCCTCTTCCAGATTTGTGAATTTAATGGCCCCTGGGTCAGGGATTCTAGTGTTAGGGCGGCGCTATATAGATTATATAGTGAAAATGCATTTATTCTTTTAAAATCTTCCTCTCTGTTTCTGAGTATTAAATAAACTAAAATAATTAAGCATAAAGTTATGATGAGCAAGAGTGCCTTTTCCAAAATTGTAAATTTATAGCCCTAGGGTCAGGAGTTCCAGTGTTAGGGCGCGGCTCTATAGATTATATAGTGAAAATGCATTTTTTCTTTAAAAATCTTCTTCTCTGCTTCTGGGTTTGAAATAAACTAACTGAATACATAGTTATGATGAGCAAGAGTGCCTCATCCAGATTTGTTAATTTTATGGCCCCAGGGTTAAGGGTTCTAGTGTTAGGGCGGGGCTCTATAGATTATATATAATGAAAATGCATTTATTCTTTGAAAATCTTCTTGTCTGCTTCTTGGTTTTAAATAAACTAAGTACATAGTTATGATGAAAAAGAGTGCCTCTTCCAGATTTTTGAATTTTATGGCACCAGGTTCAGGGGTTCTAGTGTTGGGGTGGGGCTCTATAGATTATATATAATGAAAATGCATTTATTCTTTGAAAATCTTCTTCTCTGTTTCTGAGTATTAAATAAAATAATTGAGCACATGGTTATGATGAGCAAGAGTGCCTTTTCCAAAATTGTAAATTTTATAGTCCCAGGGTCAGGGGGTGTTAGGACGGCGCTCTATAGATTATATAGTGAAAATGCATTTATTCTTTGAAAATCTTCTTCTCTGCTTCTGGGTTTTAAATAAATTAGCTAAGTACATGGTTATAATGAGAAAGAGTGCCTCTTCCAGATTTGTGAATTTTTATGGCCCCGGTGTCAGGGGTTCTGGTGTTAGGGCGAGGCTCTATAAATTATATAGTGAAAATGCATTTATTCTTTGAAAATCCTTTCTTTGCTTCTGGGTTTTAAATAAATTAGCTAAGAACATAGTTAAAATGAGAAAGAGTGTTTCTTCAAGATTTGTGAATTTTATGGCCCCAGGGTCAGGGGTTCTGGTGTTAGGGTGAGGCTCTATAAATTATATAGTCAAAATGCATTTATTCTCTGAAAATCTTTTTCTCTGCTTCTGAGTATTAAATAAACTAAATAAGTACACTGTAATGATGAAAAAGAGTGCCTCTTCCAGATTTGTGAATTTTATGGCCCTAGGGTCAAGGGTTCTAGTGTAAAGGCGGGCTCTATTGATTATATAGTGAAAATGCATTTATTCTTTGAAAATCTTCTCTGCTTCTGAGTATTAAATAAACTAATTAAGCACATTGTTATGATAAGCAAAAGTTCCTTTTCAAAAATTGTGACTTTTATTGCCCAAGAATCAGGGGTTCAGGTGTTAAGGCTCTTTTGATTATTCAGTAAAAAAAACATTAATTCTTAGAAAATATTTTCCTTTGCTTTTGGGTTTATGCTAATGATCCAAGTATATATATATTAATGATGAAGAAAGGTGCATCTAGCAAAATGATTATTTTTTATGCCCCCCCCCCTCCTGGGTCAAGGGTTGGTAGGTGGGAGTTACATGGTCTGAAAACAAATTAATGCTTTGAAATGCCCAAATTTTGCATGTACACTAAAGTTAATGCAAGCTATATATTATATAAAAAGAAAGAGTTTCACTATTGTAGTTTTCACACAATAAAACTATAGTCACCCCCCTTTAAATACTTGATAACAACCCTAATCTTCTTTATTTGTGTCACTACAAGACATTTTATTATAACCCCCACAAACAAAGTTTGGGGGGTATATAGGAATCACCTTGTCCGTCTGTCTGTGCAATGGTGTCCGGTCCATATTTTTCTTAGAGGGACATTACAATCTACTACTCCACACTAAGATTGCTCATGACCCAAGGGTGTGTCATGACCTTGACCCAAGGTCATTTGGGCAAGTTCAAGGTCACTGGAAGAAAAATTTCATAATTCGTGTCTGGTACATATCTTTCTTATGGATAAACTTGGTAAATTCTCATTTCACACAAAGATTGCCCATGAAACCCTATTTTGTGTCATGACCTTGACCCAAGATCATTTGGGGAAGTTCAAGGTCACTGGAAGAAAAATTTCATAATTCGTGTCTGATCCATATCTTTCTTATGGATAAACATGGTAGGTTCTCATTTCACACAAAGATTGCCCATGACCCAATTGTGTGTCATGACCTTGACCCAAGGTCATTTGGGGAAGTTCAAGATCACTGTTAGAAAAATTTCATAATTTGTGTTTGATACATATCTATTATGGAAAATATTACTTCTAAAAAATCCAGCGGGGGGTATTTTGTCCAGTTTGGACAGTTCTTGTTGTATCATAATAGATTTAGACAAGTAGATCGAAATATCTGAGTACCTTAACAAAGCACCTGCTCTACTAAATATTGCTGAAATCTGAACAAAATTGACATGTTTTAAGGTTTTTGAAACATCTCCATTCGAAATGAACCAATCTGTCATTGACACATACCTCAACCCACCACAAGAAACAGTCGAGGAAATTCTCCAATCACCACAAAAAAGAATGGTTTCAGTCAGAGGTATTTTACGAAAAGTAAGCATAAATTTATTTCTTTCTTTTATATAAGGCTCAAGTGAACTTTTCTGATCACATTTGTCCGTTGTCTGTCCGTCTGTATACTTTTTAGCTCATCTGAGCTGAAGGCTCAAGTGAGCTATTCTGATCACATTTTGTCTGGCGTCCTTCTGTCCGTCTGTCTGTAAACTTTTAACATTTTAGACTTCTTCTCAAGAACCGCAGGGCCAATTTCAACCAAACTTGCCACAAAGCATCCTTGGGTAAAAGGGATTCAAGTTTGTTCAAATGAAGGGCCACACCCTTTTCCAAGGGGAGATAATTATGAATTAGAGAAAAATTAATGGCATTTTTAAAAAATCTTCTTCCCAAAAACCACTGAGCCAGGAAAGATGAAACTCACATGGAATCATCCTCAGGTAGTGTAGATTCAAGTTTGTTCAAATCATGACCCCCGGGGCTAGGGTGGGGCCAAAATGGCCGACTCAAGTTTTACATAGGAATATATAGGAAAAATCTTTAAAAATCTTCTTTTCAAGAACCACTGGGCCAGGAAAGATGAAACTTATGTGGAATCATCTTCAGGTAGTGTAAATTCAAGTTTGTTCAAATCATGACCCCTGGGCTAGGGTGGGGCCAAAATGGCCGACCCAAGTTTTACATAGGAATATATAGGAAAAATCTTTAAAAATCTTCTTCTCAAGAACCGCTGGGCCAGGAAAAATGAAACTCATGTGGAATCATCCTCAGGTAGTGTTGATTCAAGTTTGTTCAAACCATGACCCCCGGGGCTAGGGTTGGGCAAAAATAGCCGACCAAAGTTTATATAGGGATTTATAGGGAAACCTTTAAAATCATCTTTACAAGTACTTCAAACCTATGATTGGTGATATTAATATGGAATCATCTTCAGGTAGTGTAGATTCAAGTTTGTTCAAATCATGAACCCCTGGGGGGTTAAAATTCAATCCCCCCCCCCCCAGTAAACTTTCATTTCTGATCTGATATGTGCTTTTTCGTAGCCAATGTGCTCAGGTGAGCACTGTGGTCCCTGGGCCTCTTGTCACATTTACTTCTCCTCAAGAACCACTGGGCCAATTTTGACCAAACTTGGTACAAAGCATCCTTGGGTGAAGGGCAATTTAAATTGTTAAAATGAAGGGACATATCCCCTCGCAAGGGGAGAAAATCAAGGAAAGACAAAAATAGGGTTGGGTCATTAAAAAATCATCTTCTCAAGAAACACTGGCCCAGAAAAGCTGAAACTTATGTGGAAGCATCCTGGTATATTATAGATTCTAAATTATTCACATCATGACCCCCATGGGAAGGGCGGGCCCACAATGGGGAATCAGTTTTATATAGAAATATATAGGAAAAATCTTTGAAAATCTTCTTCTCTAGAACCACTGGGCCAGAAAAGCTGAAACTTATGTGGAAGCATCCTGGTATAGTTTACATTCCTAATTGTTCACATCATGACCCCCGGGGGAAGGGCAGGGCCACAATTGGGTATCAAAATTTTACATGGAAATATATTGGAAAAATCTTTAAAAATCTTCTTCTCAAGAACTGCTGGGCCAGGAAAGCTGAAACTTATGTGGAAGCATCCTGGTATAATGTTGATTCTAAATTGTTGAAATAATGACCCCCAGGGGAAGGGCGGGGCCACAATGGGGAATCAAAGTTTTATATTGAAATATAAAGGAAAAATCTTTGAAAATCTTCTTCTCAAGAACCACTGGGCCAGAAAAAGTGAAACTTATGTGGAAGCATTCTGGGGTAGTGTAAATTCTAAATTGTAGGAATCATGACCCCTGGGGGAAGGGCGGGGCCATTGTAGGGAATCAAAGTTTTACGTAGAAATATATAAGAAAGATCTTTGAAAATCTTCTTCTCAGGAACCACTGGGCAAAAAAAGCTCAAACATATGTGCCCATGGAAGGATCATTGGGTAGTATAAATTTCAAAATGTCTAAATTATGATCAGTGGGGTAGGGTGGGGATGCATTATGTATAACAAGAGGGAAATCCGGTAAAGAACAGAATGGTCAAAGCTTCTCAGGTGAGCGATGTGGCCCATGGGCCTCTTGTTATAGATACTTGTGAACATTCTTTTTAGAAAACATGATCATAATGATTATAATGTACAGTAATAATGTACAAAGATCACGTACATTTTATATTTTTACAATTAAATTGTATAACATATTTCTAATATACAAAGTATTTGTTCAAGTCATCACAGATCATAGAATCGCCCAATAGTAAGAGGAAGGAGATAACAATAGAGTCGATGGAAGGTACTTCCCGAGTAGTTTGTAAATTGTGGGGAGACCATGCCGACAAGTGTCTGCCGCAGAATGATGAAGTCGTGACTGTCTGCAACGTAGAAGTTGCAACATTTAAAGATATAATTTCACTAAATTCAACCCTGCTTACTTCCATAAAGGTATGAACTGAAATTCTTGTTCTCTTAACATTTACATTTTTAGGTCACCTGAGTAAAGTTACATCACCTGAGTAAACTCAGGTGACCTATTCCTATCCATTTTCATCCGTCAGCGTACAGTAATGTTTGAACATTTTGAGCTTCTTTTCTGAAGCCAGTAAACCAATTTCAACCAAATTTGGCATAAAGCATGCATGTAAAACAAAAATTGTTAATTTCATGATCCCTGTCGCCTGCAGGATGGAACCAAAACCACTCAAATTAGTGCAATCTTGAACAAGATGTGTTTGGAAAACACTATTCACCCATCTTCAACACAATTTAAAAAAAAAAAAAACACTTTTAGCATATGGGCCATAGTCAAGGGCACAAGATCACAGATCTTGATGTCATTCAAAAGAACTTGATTAGTAAAATATGCATACCAAATATGAAGTCTCTATCTCTCATTGTTCAAAAGTTATGCTGAAGATTCAAAACAGATATTTTTAGCATATAGGACACTGTCAAGGTCACAAGGTCATTGACCGTAGTGTTGTATGAAACGACTTAATCAGTGGCATATGCATACCAAATTTAAAGTCTCTATCTTTTATGGTTCATAAGAAAAGGTGAAAGTTAAATTCACAGAAAAAAAATATTTTTAGTATATCGGTCAAGGTCACAGAGTCATTGCTCTTGATGTCATTTGAAAGAGCTTAATTAATAATTTTTTTCTTCCTTTATTTTAATAACATACCAGTTGAGCTAAAGACTTAACACACACTTCTGGTTTATTCATTCTTTTGAAACCTTGAAAAGTGGCCACATGTGTAGCCAATTTCTTGTTCTCAAACAAGTCATCTCTTAAATCAGGTTTGACTGTAGTGAAAATGCATGCTCCTGTCTATTTTACAAATAGAAAAAATAATGTAAAACTTGCAGATCTATAAGAAAAAAAATACATTCAAGTGAGTCTTTTCAAGCAAAGGATTAAGTTGCATGAACTTTCCACTTTAATGCTTTAATTAAAAATCATTACAACAATTTTTCTATCATAGGAATCCGAAGAGAACACCATAGTCGAAGGAAAAGTCGAAGGGGTAGATTTTAGAGAGTAAGTCATTAAATTTTATTCTTCTTCACTGACTACAGCTGAAAGATTACTTGACATTTTGTGATCACATATCCTATTATTTTTAGGTCACCTGAGCCGAAGGCTCAAGTGAGGTTTTCTGATCACATTTTGTCCAGTGTCCATCTGTCTGTCTGTCCGTCTGTAAACTTTTCACATTTTCGACTTTTTCTCAAGAATCACTAGGCCAATTTCAACCAAAATTGCCACAAAGTATCATTGGGTGAAGGAAATTCAAGTTTGATCAAATGAAGATAATTGGCAATTAAGGTCCCAAAATGGCCGACCAAAGTTTCATATAGGAAATATAGGAAAAGTTTTTTTAAAATCTTGTCTAGAATAGCATAGTCATTATTCATCATATTTACATAGAAGCATCCTCAGCTGGTGTAGATTCAAGTTTGTTCAAATCACCGCTTAATGTTTTTTCAAATCAAAGCTTAATGACCAACATTCAGTAAAAACATTCCACAAATTTTGCTTCTTCTAATATTTTGTCATCAGTTTAACTCTGGTTTTGAATAAACATGCGTATATGTAGGCTCTTTATGAAAGCACATTAGCTTTAATTTCTCATAACTATCTTTGAAAGTTGAAATTGCGATTATTTGTCTTTCTGAGTAACAATCATTATATTAGTCACAGGATCCCAAATTACCTCGATCACATGGTCATCATATTACTTACCAATGCAGCATGAGACTGATATTATGCTAAAGTCATAGGTGCAGCTTACTAATTTTAAATTGTTTAAATGAAATGCATATTTTTGAAATCAAAATGATGTTTTTGTCGATTTCCATAAGATACTCTGCTCTCATTTCTGTTACATATTTCTATAATAACACTAACCTGGTTCCCCTAACCAGTTTACAAATGCATTTTACAAGAACTAATTAATAGTTGTACATACAACTAGTTTGTTTTGCTTAATTCTTTGCAAGCGTGTCTTGTTTTGGCATTGGGTTACGAATAGAAATTAATGCAGCTTTGTGGATATTGGACACCTGAGCTTACAATAAGGCCACAATAACTTAATTTGTTATAGTTTAGGGTCCTCCACACACCCACAGCTTATGTTCGCATATTATTGAGCATTACTTTTAACAAACATATCAACCTTTAAAAACTGTCCAGGGATTAAGATATAATTTATACTGATTTTTTAAAATAATTATTTCACAAGTTTCAAGAAATTTTTCCCGAGGCGTTTTCATACCTAGCAAAAAAAATTTGCCTTACCCTTTCGTATATTTTTAAGCTCACAGAATAACCATAAAAACTCAATTTTATCGATCAACACATTTTTTACAGAAATTTATTTTATTTATAAGAAGTACATAAAACTCTTTTTCTTTGAAATACATCACGAGAAAAATCAACAAGGACTCCTTTTGAAGAGAAGAAACATTAATGAATTAGATTACATAAAAAAATTGAATTAAAATTAAATGCACTGATGTAGAAAAAACATTTTCAAAATCTCTGGTATCAAAGTTCCTTTTTGGAGTTATCTTTCCTGTTGCTCGGGACTCAAAAACTTTGGCAAGTCTCCGCTTACGTCACCATACTATTATAATTTAGTAATATACTAGCCACTGAACTGGACAAAAATAAAAGAGAAAAACTATAAACGCACACTATTTTATCAATATTTATAAACACACAATGAGATAATGTATTATTGAAACGTACAAATTAGTGTGCCGAAATTTCAACATGTTCAACTACACAGTATCAAAAACAGACTCGGTTGATTAGCCTGAAAGTGTAAATAACCTATACTTTTCTCGTCATACACATCGGTACCTGTTGTCTAGGAATTATTATCTTTATAATAATAATCCAAGACGTCTATTGTTCTTTTATTGAAAAAAAAAAATACCGCAATCCTTTTCATCGGTCACTCCGTGATCATCATGCCATGTGTTTATTGTTTACAAACAGTGGAAGGACAATTTGTTCATGTATTTTCTCAATAAAATCGGAAGTAAAAGTATTTTTTCTCTATATACGTCACAGGTCACATGGTGTGGAGGACCCTTAAATAAAGAAATTTGAAAAAAAAATTCTTAAACTAGCCATAGTGACTCAAAGATCATCTTTTTTTTCATCTAGGGACTTCAGCTATCTCATCATTGACACAAAAACTTATAAAGTAAAAACAACGGAACTGGAAAGAATATTTCCCAGAGGGTTCGAACAAGACATACATATCAAAGGAAGCGCTCATGGATTTACCATTGTTGAACTGTAAAGTTATTTATATAACTATATATATAATCATGATCTCAAAAACTCTCATTAAAATAATTATATAATCATGATCTCAAAATCTCTCATTAAAATAATTGCAAACATTATCAATAATGCAAAATTTCAACTTTTTACTTTTAATATATCTAGTATTACAGATTGTACCTCTTCAACAAATATAATTATTTGGAAAAAAATTTCTTCGGTATTATCAATGAGGTCAAAAATTTATATATTACAACATTGCAAATACTATCAATATAAAGTATATCAAAACATTTTTACTATTAATCCATTTTTAATGAAACTCTTGAAGAAATAGATCTTCACAATATTTTTAAAGTACTTTCATGCAACTTTAATTTTCATTCATAATTCTTCATTTTTCCAGAGAGAAGATCAACCCAGCAAAGAAACCTAAGAGAGATTAAACTTTTCAAGAAAAGTACTTCTTTTGAACAATTTGAACAACGCCCATTTCATTTCAGCTATAATTCAAAGCTCAAATAAGCTTTTCTAATCATAATTTGGTCGTCTGTCTAGCTGTCCGTCTGTCTGTAAACATTTCATATTTTTAACTTCTTTTCAAGAACCACTGGACCAATTTCAATAAAACTAAACACAAAGCATCCTTGACCACAGAAGACTCAACTACTATCTTCATATGAAAGGCCATGTATGACCTCTTATAAAGGGAAATAATGAAGACATAATTAAAATTTTGTGGCATGTTTGTAAATCTCCTCATCAAGAACCACAGAGTTGGGAAAATATAAAACTAATCTGGAAACATCTTCAAGTATTGCACATTACAAAATTTGATTTTTAAATTATGACCCCCAGATATAGCCTGAGGCCACCAGATATGATCAAAGTTTAACATACGAATATATAAGAAAAAACTTTAAAAAATCTTCTTAAAGACAACAAATCCATGATCTTTGACATCTTATATGTATGCATCCTCAGGTAGTCATTTAATTAGTTCAAATCATTAAATGTCCCCTCATGAAAGGGTGCTTTTCAAATGAAAATCATATTTTTAGTACAAATATTTATAGGAAAAAATTGAAAATCTCTCAAGAATAACAAAGCCAAAATTGCTCATATTTACAAAAAAAAAAAAAGTTGTGTTATTATATTTGTATAAATCATGACCCCAAGGGTTAAGGTAATTAAACAGTGGACAATCAAATTTAATAAACGAATATATATTAAACAAATATTTCCTTCTGAAACAGCTTCAAAAACATGCCATTGGAAATATACATATCAAAACATACACAACGCCATCCTTAAAGAAATGTTTGTTTAGAATTGCCACCTGGGGGGTTTCAGACCCATGAGGGAGGGAGGTTTTTTTTTTTTTTTTAATTGAAGCTAAATGATTAAAAAATCTTGGTGAACAGTAAAGATTTTCAATAATTTTCTTTCTTTTATTTATTGATATGTTTTGTTTTGTTTTGAAAAATTATATATAGCACTACACAGAATGGTACTCATATATCAATCTAATTCAGATGTTAGATCTGAACATTTATTAGAATTCACCTTAAACGTCAAACTTCTATTTTATTTAAAAAATCATTTTTTAAACAATTTTATCAGTGTATTTCATAGCATTGCTCTTGTTTAACATTACATTTCAAAGACTAGCTTGTGAGTTGTCATACTGTCAGATATTTTTCATTTCTTGTCCTTGCAATTTTCTAACTGGGATCTGAACAATCTTTTTTATTTCAACATAAGGGACTTAGCCTCTCAAGTTCAATGTTGAATCTATTGAGATATTCAATACCAAACAAAGTATAATTTTATTTTGGCCCAAGTATTGTAGATTCAAATTTGTTTACAACATTACCAAATGATGGAGAATGGGGAAACAATGCTGAGTCAAGGCTTTACATATAACAATAAAGGATTTTTTTTATAAGTTTTCTCAACAACATAATCATGATTAGTGATCTTTTTATGAAAACATCCACACATAATTCTGTCAACATGTTTTCAAATTTTAATTCCTAGGCTTCAAACTTTTATTTAGAAAACCCATAGCACATCAACACATTAACATCTATATTAAACCATTGTCATTTAGTGTAGATTCAAGTTAATTCATATAACCCCCCACCCCCTTAAGTTGTATGTTTGGACGTTTTAGCCACACTGGATTTCATTTTGCTTTCTTCTTGGCCGTGACATGTATTACTAACAGGTGAGCAATGTCACTCATGGTCGCACCACTTCTTTATTGCTGACCTTTTTCTTGCAGAAGTGCACATGTTTTTATTGATTTTTATTATCAAGTAACCTTGGTAAACAGGTTTCAAGTTTTCAAGTTTTTATGGCAAATTTGAAAGCATTTTTTTTATACCTCACTTTTTATAAATATGATTAGAGGTCATATTGTTTGGTCTATGCATTCGAAACAATTTAACAGAAGAAATTGATCTATTATTTTGAAACCCTATTTCCCAATGTGTAGGGGTAAAATATTTCAAGTGCACAGATATTGTTTGACCAATTGACTTCTCTAGGTCATAAACATGCTTTTCTTAAATTTGTCACAAGTTCAGTTTTACAAGCAAAAACACTTTATTTACTCATTATTAGTGCAACAAAAATTAATCAATAGCTTCTAAGGCTACCACCATATCATTTCAAAAACAACCGCAATGATCTTTTTCTTTTTTTTCTTTTATAGTTTTCCAGGTTTAAAAAAAACATTGAGTTATTCCCCACCTCATTAATTCTATCTTAAATGATAGATAATTTATTAGAAAACGATATATATCTTCAAAATTCACAATATTTTATGAATAAATATTCAAAGAAATATTTGGAATAACATAATTTCAAGTTGAATACATATTACAACTTAAAAGAAAACCTACCTGATGCATTTAATTTTTGGGCCTGAGAAACTATTAATTTTTTTTTAGCCTTAATGAAACCTGTATGCAACATTTATGTCCTATGGACTTGTATTTCTTTTAAACTGTGTCAAATACAACACACATCCATCTTTGAGATAAGATGTTCCAAAAAATACTGGTAACCACATTGTATAATGTGCTCATCGATACTGTTTAACATTTTATTCTTATTATTTCACAAATGCAACCTATTTTTGCAACATTATTAATGTGTGTGAAAAAATCATTACTTGCCTATATCCTGACCACATTATGAAACTTTTTTTTTTATTATATTGTGAACATTTTTGGTAAAGTCCTTTCACAGGATTTTTGAACGAATGTTATCAGTTCTTATTTTGTTGTTTTTACACATAATTATTGTTCCAGCTATTCCAGAAAAAATGTAGTTGGTTGTGGGGGAGGGGGCTAGAAGGCACTTAATACATTTTTTTAGGTAGTAAAGTATACAAATTACTTTCATTTGAAATTTACAGACAGCATACAATGTTCCATCTCAAACACATCACATCGTACAATTTTTGTAGTGAGTATCATTAACTTTGACGAGCGCTATCTATTCAACCTGTAGCAGAAAAAACGCAATTTTTTTATTTTGAATTTAGATGAATGGTGCTATATCAAAAGAATTTCCAATTCAATGTAATGCTGATTGGGGGGAAAAACAATTAACAATACAAGTGGTTAGGTAAAATTAAAAGTGCCTTTTAAACTTTCCATATTACATTTTTTACCTGGAATAGCTCAATGTCAAATTGAAATGACATTACTGAAATAAAAGAATGCAAAATTTGTATATCTCTTCTCATTTGATGTTCTGACTGAAACTTTAGAAAATGCACAATTCAAGTACTAACAGGCGAACTAGTTTACATACATTTTACTCTTAATATTTCATTTAAATTGTGCATTTATTTTTAGTTACATTTCATTTTAGATTTTGGGCATCACTTTTCCCATAACTACATTTTTAGTTTACCACAGCAGAAAGCTCAAGTGAGCTTTTATCGATTGTCTGTTGCTGTAAATGTAAACTTTTTAGTTTCATCTTCTTGATATTGCAACAATTTCTTGAAAAATGAATGACATATACATATTTTAAAATTCTTCTAAAGAACCTCTGTACCATCAAAGATGACTTTGATATTCTCTGGTAGTATAGATTAAAATTTCTTACAAGCTTTACCCCTGAGAGAAGGCAGGCCAAAATGGAAGATAAAGGTTTCACATGTGCAATACCTTCTCAAGCACAGCAAAACAAGAATTAATCATATTTATATGCAAGCATCCTCGATTGTATACTTTCAGTTATCTTTGCAAAATTGACTTCCAATCGCGTGAATTTCTGTCCTCAACATGAGAAGCTATCATGGCTAGATCTCGTAAACGGAAAGAGATTAACAAACAAAACCTGTAAAATTGTTAGATCTTGATGAGTACGCAGAACCACCGGGGATAAGATTGTCCGCCGTCACTTCCAGTCGTCACAGGAAGTGATCAAACAAAGTGAAAATACAACTTGTCTCTTCTGAAACTTTTTTTGCATCACATTATAGCATCTTATTTGTAGTTTCAAGATGTATCAGTACCACCGGTAAAAAAAACCGTAAACTTCCGGATATAAGAGAAAAACTACGTAATTTGAGTACATTTCTTTCCCATAAATACTTTTTTAGATAAAATATTTTTGAATATGTTATTCAGACTGCAAATGTCTACAGAAACTTCAAATATATTTTTTAAAATATTCACTTCCGGTTGCCTGATTTCCTGTCCTCAAAATGAGAAGTTATCATAGCTACATCTCGTAAACGGTAAGAAATTAAGACACCAAACTTATAGGATTGGTAGATCTTGATGAGTAGGCAAATCCATTTTGGTTAACATTTTCCGCCGTCACTTCCGGTTGTCACACGAAGTGATGGAATAAATCAAATATTGAAACATTTCTTTATAGAATCTTCTTAGTCAAACATTTAAAAAAATAAAACTGATTTTTGTAAATGTTATTGAGACTTTAATAGTTTAAACTTACATCAATAATCTTGGTAAGTTACACCTCCTGTCGTTCGTTTTCCCGAAATCAATTAAAAAAATCATGTGCCTTTTTTAACATATATAAAAGTTCATTCATGCAGATCAATAGAGGAGAACGGAAGACCTTCTTTGTTGCTTTAGCAACAAGAGTTTCTAGTTATTATTATTATTATTCTTTTTTTCATAGTTATGGCGATATCTCAGCTGTGAGTGAGCAGATTTCAGAGATTTTTTCGCGGAAGATGCATCATGTAAATATCTCCAGACGTGTTTTTCATTTTTTCAAAAATCACTTCCGTTCGCGATTTTTGGGGAAATTTGTATTTTTTAAATGGCATTTTGTCCAGAATTTTTCTCGACAACGGCTAAAGATATGAAATTGAAACTCAATGAATAAATAGAACATCAAATTCCAATATGGGGAACGACCTTTATTTTTCGTCGTCGGCACTTCCGGTCGCAAACGGAAGTGAATTCAAAAAATCCAATTTTTCAACTTTTTTGTTTTTCAATATTTTTCTTTAGGATTTACAGGGTTTATAGAGTGTTTTACAAGAATTCTAAATATGTATTCAATATTTTGATGCGTGCATTTATTGCAAAGATATGACTGATCCAAACTTTGTCCCACTGTCTGGGGTTCGAATCCTGCTGGAGGTAGTTAATTTTTTTTCTTTGTTTTTCTCTTTTTTTCAGTTGCTAATGACTTCTCTCTCTTTAAAAACATGTATGGTAGTTTTTGCTGATTTTTAAAAGCTTTTTTGTCAGAGATTCTGTAGAAAACCTTTCGACATATACTGAATATCTTTGCATCTATGATATGTCCTTTTAAAACTATTTTAAGATTTCATTCTTGTCCCCAAAGCTTGACCCATTCAAAAGTTGTCACCCCTTTTGCAATAAAACCTTGTTATCGCTACTCCTCCGAAACCGTAAAACGTAGAGATTCCAAGCCTTCAGCAGTGTCTTCGACTCATTTAATACTCTCTTCATTCTATCATTGCAAAAGCATTCTTTGGTCCCTTGTATGAGTTACTGCCCCTGAAAGTTTATGCTGCTTACATTTAATGAACCTTTTTTAAAACGGTGTATCCTAGAGACATGGGACCAACTGCATCGGCATGTTTGATTTTGACCTTGAAATATAGGTCAAGGTCAAAGTCATTTAAAAACATAAGAAATTCCTTATATATGTGTGAAATATAGCAATTCACCAAATGACCTTGAACTTTGACCTTGACCTTTGGCCTTGACATTGGGTCAAATGAAAAAGTAAGGACATGCATCCAGCTCCAGTATCAGGTAAAAACATTAGAAAGTAAAGATTTCCTTGTTTTGTTTTGTTTTGGTTTTTTTTTTTTTTGAAATGGCCCTGACCTTTGATCTTGACCTTTGATCTTGACCCAAAGGTCACAATCAGGCTTGAAGATGTGAA